TGATGAATAGCAAGTGCCAGGGTGACATTTAGCCTGATGGCCCCGTTACCGGGAGACGCAGGAGAGTGCCAAATCTGTGGATGCTCAGGAGGAGCTGCCATGGAGTCTATTAGAGACACAAAGGCTCATGGTTCATCTCTGTTCCCTGAGGTAAATTCCAGAGGCCACACAAGGAAGACTCTCCTGACTCCCAGGCTGAGGGGGAGATGGGGCCACGGGGTGAGGGAACCTGCCCTGACTCCCAACAATGAGATGGGGATGGGGGCCATTTGAGCAGAAACAGCGTCTGCCTTTCTGAGGGGAGGGCTCAGGTGAGCAGGCATTCTGCAGCCAGTGAAACTGTGGGCTCTGTAGCTTCAGTGCTCGTCTGACACAGCCTCCTTAAATCAGGGGGACACCCTAGATGGTTGTGTAAGATGCTGGCAAAGCGTGCCCCTCTCTGGTGGCTGGTCCTCACAGCAGATAAGTGCCTACAACTGCTGCTAGCTCCTTTCGCTCGAGTGGTAGAGAGCTGTGCTTCTGGTGCAAAAGAGCCCAGATTCAATCCCTATGATAATCCATGGCAGAGTGTTGCAAGAGCCCTGGGCTGGCATTGAGTACAAAGGGGCATGCTGCTATTACACGACCAAATCTGGCTCAGAAATTGTCCTCTCGAGTTGCCAGGCTGCCTGTAAAGGAAAGCCATCCCTTCCTGGCCTGCATCAGGATGGGATTGATCCTGCATTGCTCTGTATAATCACTGATTACGTTACAGGATATTGCCTGGGTACTGAGGGGAAGGTGGTTAGGGGGAAATCTACACTGGCCAGAGGCGGCTGCTGCTGCAGATTCAGCCTCCCCTTGGATCTAGCTGACGGGCACAGAAGCCCACCTCCACTCTTTCCCACCAGGGGTGCAAGGTTGGGAGTCGTGGGCACAGATGTGCCATAGTTGTGATGAATGGGACTAGCCAGGAAAAAGAGCAAGACCCATCAGCCTAGAAGGCTACGGACAGGGAGGGGCTGGGGGAAGAGGTGGCTGGCTTGTTCCTTTTCTGATGTTGACGGGCATGAGAAGTGGGGGGATTCTAGGACTAGTCAGAAAGCAGCCAATCTCCATCATCTCTCCTCTTGAATTTCTTTCCAAATTGGAGTCATTAGATGCTGCCCTCATCAGACAAGAGCAGGTGCAGGGGTCACAGGCGGAGATCCATCTCCAAGGGAAAGCGGAGCATCTGGGCGAAGGATGGAAGAGGCTGAGGGTCTCTGGCCACTTAAAGGAGCCTGGCAGAGGCTCTTGTGAAATCACAGGCCTGGCTTTCTCAATCTGTATGGTAATTCAGAGCAATCAGAATCAGCAGATGGGGAGAGGCAGGAGAGATTAACCCTTCCCGGATCAAGTAGGCCAAGATAGAGACCACCTCTCCTGGCTGGGATGGGGGAGAGAGAGGTGCTTGGGGAGGGAATCAAGGTATCAGCCTTGTGCTGGTGTTCTCTGGATGGGGCAGGGGGTGGATGTGCAGACAAGCGGGTGAGGCGTAAGTCCTGCACAGGCAGGTCTGACTGGACCTTTGGCTTCCTCCAGAATGCCCCTTTGGATAGGGCAACAATGTAATTGTGAAACACCCGTGTGTGTGTGTGGGGGGGGGGAGAACAGGATGTCTCACGAAGGTTGGAAAGCTGCGCTCCAAAGTAAACGGCATCTCAGACTCAGCATCGATTTGGCAAACGCTAGCCGCACAAAGAAATCAAGAGGAAGAGGGTGACAAATGCACTTCCTGGCTGGGGAGTTATTGAAGGCTCAGAGCCAGGGAATGGGAGGCGAGGGGGGTAGTTCATCTTTTTCCCTACTTCACAAACAAAGTGCTGGATTCTGAACTGAATGCAGAGTCTGTCAGGGTCCAGGGATAAATGGATATCATCTCCGTAAAGGCTGCAGTGTGGGTTCCACATGCCAAACGCAAAGCTGGGGCTGGCCTTCAAATACAGCCCAAAGCTTGGGCATGTCAAAATCTCTATACACTCCACTCAGAGCCCTACCAGTTTAGCCGAAAATGAAGATGACTTTGTAATAGCAAGGGCAGGGTCTTGCCCTGGGACAGGAATTGCACTGAGATGACTTCTCTGAGGCAGGGACTGTCTTTGTGTTGTCTCTCTACTGCCTGGTACAATAGAGCCCTAATCTCTGATTGGCTTCTACTGCAATAGAAATAATGAGAGTCGTTAATTACATTTTAGGAACACTTCACTGGAGAACCATGGGTTTATTTTCACCCTCATCCATTCTTGTGCTTAAAAGAGGCAGCATTTTAACCAGGGGCTGCAGGATGCCATCTAGTGGATTTTGCAAATTGCTGTGAGATCTTGTCCATTTAACACATTAATACCCTGAACTGGAGACTGCCCTGTGGCTGGGGAATGAAACTAAATGGGGCTGGGACTGACAGGTAAACAAACCTAGAGACTAGACTTCCCTGCATTTTTCAGCTAGTGTGTAATCCCTCTCTGTCTCTTGGAAGCATGTTTGTCATCCTGCCTTTCTTCTTCCCTCACTGCCCATTGCACGGCTCTAGCAATAACAAAGTTTCCTTTACATGGTATTTCTTTTAAATCCCTCTCAACTCTTTGGGAACTCTGAGTGACCTTGGGCAAGTCACGAATGCTCAGATTTTCATGTGGCTGCTGATTGTTTTGAGTGCTCAACACTGGGACTGACTTTCAGAAGTATCAAGCATCTGCAGGTTTCTTGACTTCCGCTGAAGGTGCAGGGGCCCAAACTCAAATCCTCAAAGGTATTTAGGTGCCTAATTCCCTTTGAAATCAGAGGGAGTTAGATGCCTAAGTAGCTTTGAGAAGCTGGGCGTCAGTCTGAAAATCAGGTCCAGGATTTTTCAAATTGGCCTCCAAAACCTTGAGGCATTCAAAATCAGACTGCTTTTGACCACTTTGGCTCAAAAACAAACAAACAAACAAACCAACCACCCACCTCCTGTGCCTCAGTTTCCCCATCTATTAGAGGAGACTAATGATGACCCCTATTCCTCTTTATAAAGCCACTTGAGATCCTTGGATGGAAGAAGCCATGTAAGTGCAGAATACAGTATTATTATTTACTTGCTGTTTAGAAAAGAGAGTCAAATTACAGGTAAATTGTGCCACACAGATAAGATGTCCCGGCCTCAAAGCACTAAGGCCTGGATGCTCAAACCTATTTAGGATTGAAATCAGTGCGAGTTAGGTGCCAAAATACCTTTGAGAATCTAGGCCCTACAGCCTAATGCCCCAATTCTGCAAGCTGCTCTGTGCACCTGGGCCCCACTAACTTCAATGAGGCTCCACCTGCATGGATCTCAGTAGCAGGATTGAGCAAGTGCACACAGCACACACGGCGATTGCAGCTGATGTGCTTCATGAAGCAAAGTAGGTGGGGAGAAGTCTGTTTGGCCCGTGAGCGGAAGAGAGCTTGCCAAACTTGAGCTACAAGGTTAGAATTTTTCATCGGGCCCCTGCCCCGTGGACCCAACCGGCCCCCCTGCCCCTTCTCCGTGAGCTGGCTGCACGACTTGCAGCCGGTTTGTTTCCAGACCGCGCCAAGGAAACATCTGTACAAGCTCGTGCTCCACACCCTTCACTTCCTCACCCTCGTGTCCCACCCCGACACAAAGTGGCGGGACCTCCTGCCACCTTTAGAGGATGAGAAGCCCCGGTGGGCCAGCCTATACTCCACCCTGGTCCCGAGGCCCGCTGGGGATATTAGCTGGCGGCTCCTTCATGGGGCCGTGAGCATGGGCGTGTATTTGGCACGGTTTACACCTGCCCCTTCTCTGGCGTGAGGGAGACCCTGGCGCACGTTTACTTGGAGTGCGCCAGGTTGCAGCCCCTATACCGGCTCCTCACGAATATTCTGTTACGTTTTTGGCTGCACTTTTCCCCTCACCTCCTTCTCTATGCACTCCCTATCCGTGGCCCCAAAGTCACGGGACCTCCTGGTCAACTTCCTCTTGGCCCTGGCTAAAATGGCCATCTATAAAACCAGAGAGAGGAGGTTGGCCGATGGAGACTCCTGTGACTGTGGGGCTTGTTTCCGATCCTCTGTCCGTTCACGTATCCGGGCAGTTCCTCTGGGCGGCGTCCACTGGCTCCCTTGACGCCTTTGAGGAGCAGTGGGTGCTGTCCGGGGTTCTCTGCTCGGTGTCCCCATCAGGTTCCCTTCTTTTGACCCTGTCACCACACTCCTATCCCTGTTATTTCATTAGTTGTCCCCCGAAATCAGTTGGTTTCCAGGTCCTGTAGATCCTTCCCTTAGGTTGGGGGGGGATCCTTTAGCAGTGGGCGGGCTTCCGCCCACTTCCTGGAACCCAATAAGTACACGGTTAGAATTGTTTCTATAACCCTTTGAGGATGGGGGACTATGTGCTGGAGCCTTTTAAAGGGAGACTGTCTACTTAAAAAAACATGTATTGCAAACAGACATTTCTTTATGATGTGAATAGTAGTTTAAATATCAAAATGGAAATAAAGCCATAGAAAATCCAGTGTACTTGTCACTATTTCTGCTCTGTGTTGGCTTTCCTCTCCTTTACTGGAACAAAACAAATCCAAGAAGTCAGTTTCACTTTTGTGTCTAGAGAGTTTCTCTTTCCAGTTCTGGGCACTGCAGTATTTGAGTTGCAAATTCTCTAGGGGGATATTTGTATGTTTTAAAAACAAAACAATGGATTCCATTAGAATTTAAAACAGCTGCAGCGGTGGGAACAATTCTATTCATCTTATGTTTTGTAAATGCTTTACTCTGAACACATCAAAATTCAGGGTTACGCTTTGCTGATCATGTCCCTGAAAACAATAGTTTGGAGGTCTGCCTAGTGCAGAGGTGGGCAAACTACAGCCCGCGGGACCATCCTGCCCGGCCCCTGAGCTCCCAGCCAGGGAGGCTAGCCCCCGGCCCCTCCCCTGCTGTTCCCACTCCCCTGCGCGCGGCCAGTGCTCTGGGCCACTGCTCCTCCCAGGCAGTGTGGTGGCATGGCTGGTTCCGGCATGGTAAGGGAGCAGGGGGTCCCAGGGGGCAGTTGGATGGGGCAGAGGTTGGGGGGGCAGTCAGGGGATGGGGGGCAGGGGTTGGATAAGCATGGGAGTCCCGGGGGCGGGGGTGTGGATAGGGGTTGGGGCAGTCAGGGGACTGCGAGCAGGGGGGTTGGCTAGGGGGTGGGGTCCCTGGGGGGTGGTTAGGGTGGGGGGTCCCGGGAGGGGGCGGTCAGGGGACAAGGAGCGGGGGGGGGGTTGGATGGGTCAGGGGTTCTGAGGAGGGGCAATGAGGGGGCAGGCTGTTTGGGGAGGCACAGACTTCCCTACCTGGCCCTCCATACAGTTTTGCAACCCCGATGTGGCCCTCGGGCCAAAAAATTTGCCCACCCCTGGCCTAGTGAGTTCCCAAGATTCAAGGCAGAGTGACTATGGTGGCCCTTTAAGAGAGAGAGAGGAAATTCTGGAATGAGAGAAGATTCTGGAGCAGTTAATCGGAGAAAGAAGGAGAAACGGCTCAGTGAGTTTCTCCAGTGATTGTGGAGTCAGTAAGTTGCCCTGCAGGAGGGGTTATGATTTGTTTAAAAGAAAAGAATAGAGAATAAAATTGGTCATAATTCAAGGGCTAGAGCTCGTAGCCTGACTGCATGGACACAATTTTGTTTGACCTTTAGTCAGTGCTTAAAAGAGTGTGTGTGGGGTTCTATCATAATCTGGGAGCAGCTGCTTTGGTAAAACAGTGCTTAAAGTGTGCCCCTGAGTAGTCCAGATCCAGTTTGATTTTTTTTATATTGGGGGGCGGGGGCTGGGTCTGCAGCCCCTTGTGATTCCCCACCCCACTTTAAGTAGTGTCTTGTGCCTTTAGTTAAAGTCCTAACCTCTCCTAGATGACCAGTTTTTACTCTTGAGTAACCAAGTTTAACTGGTTAATGAGTTCAGTTCTTTGAAGTTGTAAAGTGCTGTATAATGTGATTATTAAGCCTCCTTATGAGCCATGAATAAAATTATCATGGGCAGTAGTGATGGATTGGGAATATCCAGATAGGATCATTTCCCACAGAGACAGGGTGATGCACTCGTCCCCCAACTAAGATCCTCAAAGATATTTAGGCACTTTACAACTTACTTCAAAGAATTTAACTAATGATTTCAATGGGAGTTAGGTGCCTAAATATTTCAGAGGCTCATGGCCTTAAAGTATCACAGTATGAAGTGCCCAGCGCAGAGGAAAACTAGAGATGGACCAGGAGAAAATACTGCCCTGGGTCCAGCATCTGCTGAAGTAGCAGATGCTTTAAAAAAGCCCTGAAGAGCCGTTAGCATGGCACAATAATTGCATGTGATTGATCTCCGTGATTTTATTTCTCATGCATTATTGCTTTTTGGTTTTGTACTTTGCCCCTTCACCTGGTGTGATAGATGAGGGAGGAGCCATCAAATAACATGTATTAATTATCAATTTGTTTGTGATCATTATTATATAGAAGTAGAACTAGTGGGTTTCTACCTTGTTTTGTCCCTAGCTAGTGAAGTCTAATGGAGAATTACTGACACACACCGAATCTGATTCTTACACTGGTATAACTCCATTGCCTTCTATAGTAACTCCTGATTTACACTGGAGTGAAAGGAAGAGAATCAAGCCTGGTAAATGTAATACAGCCCTGCCAGTGTCTTGCCCAGCTTTCATTAGGAAGAGGCTTTAATGAATCCCTAAGTAGAAATACCTGCTGGATTAGAATGACTGCATAAGAAGCAGCTAACTCTGCATCAAACATTGTTCGGGGGTAAGGCAGAAATTACCCAGCCCAACTAGTCTTTAGTTGTGTGAGTAAGGATGAGTCATGTGAGCAGAGGTCGCTGGACCAAGCCTGTAATGACTTGAACTGACCAATCATATTTTGAGAAGTGGTGTTAAGATCTAAGCGTAGAGGAGACTGTAGCACTTGGAACTGGAGTAATGTACCAAAATATTGGAGTTGACAGCTGTGCTAGGGATCATCTGGGCCCATGACTGTAGGATAATCTAAACCCCTACAAAGTGCTGGAACAAATTAAGGCCCAGTAGTGCATGTAAGTAATTTTAGGCAAGTGTGTCGTCGTATTAAGTGCACTGAGATTATTCATGTGTCTGCAGTGTCCTTAAATCTTTGCAGGATTGGGGATTAAGCTATGTCAATGATAGAACCGGTACACCGGCAGTGCCGCAGCTGTAGCATACATACTTCCTCCAACCTAACTACAGCATTCAGGGCATGAGTGACAGAGCTAGATTGATCTAGTTTTTATGTGCAGCCCCAGCCTAAGGGGTCCCTTTGTGGATTTGAGCCTAAGGATCAGTGCTTAATTTGTGCCCAGGCTGGCCAGGGCTGAGCCCCAGTACCTCTGGGCTGGGCTGTTCATAGCCCCGGCACCTCTGGGCCTGCTGCGTCGGTTATTAAAGTAAAAAAATGGTCTGAGTCCTGGTATCCAATTGCTTGAGCCCCAGCACATCTTTCTTTACAAATTAAGCACTGCTGAGGGCCCAGTCCTGCGAACCCTTCCTTGGAGAGTTGTCCCGTTGCCTGGGTGGGATGTCTCACCTGGAGTAATGGTTACCGTTGGAGTTCACAGGACCGGGGTCCAAATTTTAAAATGGAAGCTGCAGGATAACACTTCCCCCGAATGCTGCTGTGCATCTGGAAGCTGGTGTGTTATAGGGGGGCACCTTTGGGGTGGGACTAGGAGAGCTAGGGAAGAGAGGGGACTCCAGGCCCCCTCCCCAAATCTATAAGGCTTCTATCTAGCTGTGCAGCGCTCCTTAGAATGGTTTGATGCGGGAGGGCCAAGTGTAAAGGGTGAGAGCAAGAATTAGGACACAGTATCAACCTATCATCCGTGAACTTACCTCATTGTCCTCCTTACACGTCGTCTTTGCTGTGATGCCTACAAAAGGCAGAACAACGGTTAGGCTGTTGTTGAGCAGAGGCCATTGGTCAGCACTGGTTCCTTGTACTCCCCCGTCCGACTGTACCCATCTGTTGCCTGGAAGTAGGCATGGTCTACACCTAACGCTTAGGTGACCTAGGGATAGCACGCAGGCCTGTGAAAAATTTCACCCCTTGCATGCTGCCGTTAGGTTGACTTACCTGTAGACGCAGCTAGGTGGATGGAAGAATTCATCCGTGGACCTAGCTTCTGCCTCTTGTGGGGCTAGAGCAGGGGTAGGCAACCTATGGCACGCGTGCCAAAGGCGGCATGCGAGCTGATTTTCAGTGGCACTCACACTGCCCGGGTCCTGGCCACTGGTCTGGGGGGCTCTGCATTTTAATTTAATTTTAAATGAAGCTTTTAAAACATTTTAAAAACCTTACATACTTTACATGGGGGGAGGGATAGCTCAGTGGTTTGAGCATCGGCCTGCTAAACCCAGGCTCAATCCTTGAGGGGACCACTTAGGGATCTGGGGCAAAATCAGTACTTGGTCCTGCTAGTGAAGGCTGGGGGCTGGACTCCATGACCTTTCAAGGTCCCTTCCAGTTCTAGGAGATAGGATATCTCCATTAATTTAATAGTTTAGTTATATATTATAGACTTATAGAAAGACCTTCTAAAAAGGTTAAAATGTATTACTGGCACGTGAAACCTTAAATTAGAGTGAATAAATGAAGACTCGGCACACCACTTCTGAAAGGTTGCCGACCCCTGGGATGAATTTCCTACGGGAACCCCTTCCCCTTCAGACGCTGTAGTGAGTGTCCACACTACAGGGGCATAGCTGTGGCCCTTGCCGTGTTTGCCTTGCAGCCTGTCAGCTCTTCTGGGGGAGGGAGCCACCGCTTTGTGCGGTGTGTACAGCGCCGAGCACAGGGGCCCCGGTAATCCCAAGCAATAACTCTTCATACAAATAACGAAGGAGCGTTTCTCCTGGAGCACAACAGACCCGGTGCGGAGGGCACCGTTTCACGGCTGCTGCAAGCGGGGCAGGCACAAGTCAGTCCCCTCCCACCGCCCGGCTCTGTAGGGAGCCCGGCCCGCCGTGTTTCCCCCGGGCCGCGGGGCGGCGCAGGCGGAGGCGAAGCCGCGGCCGGGAAGCTGGACTCAGACGCCGCGCGGTGCAGCTGCTGCTGGTGCCCGGCCTGCCGGTGAGTGCGGCCCCCTGCCCCGCTGCTCCCCGCAGGCCGGCCCCGGCCCCCCGCTGCCGCCGCTCCGGCTGCCCCCCGTCCTTCCGAGCACCCGGCACCGGGCCCGGGGCAGCGTCCGGGGAACTGAGAGGGGCCGACCCTCGGTGTCTGGTCCTGCGACCACAGTGCGGGTTGCTGGGGGTGGTGGATGCCGCGGGGGCAGGGGGGTTGCTGTGGGTCCTGCTGGGGGTGGATGCTGGGGGGGGGGGGGGGTTGCTGTGGGTCTTGCTGGGGGTGGGGGCTGCGGTGGATCCCGGGAGGGTGGGGAATTTGCTTTGGGCCTTGCTGATGTCTGTACAGAAAGCAATAAGACTTTGGGTGGAGGGTGTGGTCTCTGCCATGTAGCCTATATCTGAAGTGCCAAACCACTGTAGACCTCAGTAGCACAAAGGAGCTAAAGCATTTGCATTTCCCTCCCTTCCCTCCCCTGCTGCCTTTTGTCACCCTCTTCCTCTGCATCCCACTCTCCATCAGGCCACCCCCCCCACTGTCACCCTGGCGCTGCGTTGCTTGGATGGCGTCTTCCTCTCCCCCAATGAGAATGACTTCGTGTGCAAGGTCGCTGAAGAACTGGACCATTTTCTGCTCCAAAACCAGCATGAGAAGTAGGTGGCTTATGTTGTGCCGTTTACATTGCAGGAGCTTTCAGATAAGGGCCACAAAACCTGTGCCCTTTTTACCCCATGTGAATAATAAGATGTTTGTGGTCCCCTTTGCCCACTGTCATGCAGGGTGCTTTGTGCCGTTAGGTGACTGTGCGTTCCACCCAGGGGTGGCAGCAATTCTTTGCTGCTATATGTCTGTAACTTCAGATGGGCCCTACAGGATGAAAGATTTTATTAGAGATGGGGGGCTGAGCTGCAACATTTGGAGCCAGATCCCATGTCCTAGACCAGTGATTCTCAACCAGGAGTAAGCATACCCCTGGGGGTACGCAGAGGTCTTCCAGGGGGTACATCAACTCATCTAGATATCTGCCTAGTTTTACAACAGGCTACAGAAAAAGCACTAGCGAAGTCGGTACAAACTAAAATTCCATACAGACAATGACTTGTTTATACTGCTCTGTGTACTATACACTGAAATGGGAGTACAATATTTATATTCCAATCGATTTATTTTATAATTTTATGGTACAAATGAGAAAGTCAGCAATTTTTCAGTAATAGTGTGGCTGGGACACATTTGTATTTTTATGTCTGATTTTGTAAGCAAGTAGTTTTTAAGTGAGGTGAAACTTGGGGTATACAAGACAAATCAGTGTCCTGAAAGGGGTACAGTAGTCTGGAAAGGCTGAGAACCACTGTCCTAGACCATTCAGAACTGGGTTATGGTTTGGGCCATTAAAGCAAGAGGGGTCAGTTACCAAGTTTGAGCTGGATCTGCACTTCCCCAAACTGCAGGCATTTTGTACCTGGGTTTTTTTGCCATGGGCCCATCTCTAACTATTATTCTTCTCTGGGTGGGATTATCCTGGATGCTGGCAGCTTCTGCACCAGCCACTTCACAGCCTTGTTCACTTGATGTCCCCGCTTGGTGAGTTATTACCAATAGTTTAAGATCAAACTGTTCTTCATCAGACCCTCCCTGCTAATGCCTTCCTGTGCACAGTGTTCTCTGTCCCAGCAGAAAACGATTATGGGGCATGATGAACACAAACCCCTTGGCCTGGCTGAGCTCCAGAAGTATGTTTTGCCTGTCTGCTTGTGCACAGATAAGAAGATTCAGATGAGCTTCTGTCACAGAGTAGGGACTAGATGGGAGAGAGGGACGCTGTGTTCCAGGCAGACTTGCTTGGACTCCAGTTGTTTGAATTGGATACTTATCACAGTATTTTAGATGGAGGAAGATATTAAAGTCCAGTTGCAAGGTACCTGGGAGTGAAACTAGATCTGATTTTACTGTGTGTATAAATGCCATGCAGTGTGAAACAGAATATCTTTTTTCTGACCTCCTAATTTCTGAAGATACACATAATAAAGGGTTTCTCTGTGAATTTAGCACTGGTGAAAGGTGCCAGATTGACAGGCCTCCACCTTGATGCCCTCGTGTTTATCCATAGAACAGATAAAGGCAGAAGGATAATCTTGTGGTGAAAGCACTGGCCTGGAACTCGGGAAACCCGGTTCTATTCCAGACTCTGTCCTGTGTGACCTTGGGCAAGTCCCTTCATCTCCCTGGGCCTCCGCTCCCCACCTGCAACCCACGGTAATAACCCTGCACTGCCTGGCAGGGGTGTTGTGAGGCTAAATTTGCCAGTGTTGGCAAGTCACATCATTACAGTGACGGAGGGGGCATAAAAGTACCTAGATAGATAAAACAGTGGGCAACAGCAGAGCAGTCTAACCCAACCCAGTCGTGTCCTGGAGGGGTGAGAGGGTACATCAGGCACCACAGACTGTTCGCTCTCTAGTCCCTCTGCTGTTGCTCTCAGCTAGGGGGCCAATTGGCTTTTGGGATGTGGCTCACTGGCCACTGGGAATGGAATTAGGACCCTACTCCAGGAGTGACTTGGGGTCACTAATGGGGACTTGCAGCGTCTGCTTCCCCTTCCCTGCCCACTCCAAGCTGATGATGCCTTGTCTGTTTTCCTTTTTCAGAGTTCTCTTGTTCCCCCCCTTGTCCAGCCGCCTCAGGTACCTGATCCACAGGACCGTGGACAATGTCGATTTGTTAAGCAGCTTTTCTGTCGGGGAAGGATGGAAGAGGAGGACTGTTATATGTCACTCAGTCATAAGGTACAACACTACTGCTCCCTTACTGTGCACAAGGCACTGACGCTCACTGCACCCCGTGAGGATGGCTTGATCCCTGGTCTATTCTGCAGATACAGAAAAAGGCAGTGAGTGGTTAAGTGACTTGCAAAGGTCACACAGCGACTCAGTTACAAATAGAACCCAGGAGTCCTGACTGCCAGTCACATACCTGAACAACAAAACAGTCCATCCCCAATTCACGCAATAGGTCTGAATTTACAACTGTGGGTAATTTCACCCCTTGGGGTTCAAGCAGTACGTTGGGGGTGTGCAATCAAAGCGACGCCATGACAATCGCCAAACTGCCTAGTTCTACTGAATACAGGGGAAAAGCTAATAGCCGTATCCTACTTTTGTAATGCAGTGAATTCTATTCAGATGTGTAAGGCGAGGGAGTTCGGTCTAGTTGGAGCAGAGGACAGGGAATCAGGAGGCCTGGGTTCTGTACCTAGATCTGTAAGGGAGTGTTGTCTAGTGGTTAGAGTAGGGAGTCAGGACTCCTGGGATCTAGACCCAGATCTGAGGCAGGGAACAGGATCTATACCCAGAACTGGAAGGAAGTGTGCTCTAGTGGTTAAAGCCAGGTGTCAGGACTCTTGAATTCCATTCCTGTTCTGTCGTTCTTTTCCTGTGTGATCTTGGACAAGTTACTTAACCTTATGGTGCCCCAGCTAAAGGGACGTTGTCCGCTTAAAAGTCATATGTATTAAATATCTATTTGTTATGCGCACTTTAAGATTAAAAGTGAGAGAATTAAAAAACCGAATTTGTTTGTCAGTAACTTATGCTATTTGGTCACATTGTTTTTTTTCCTGGCATTTCTCTCTGTGAAGAATCAGCAGAATCACTTTCACGTTTGTGCACAGTCATTTTTGTTTTCAGATACCCACTGCTGCAATGTTTGGGTTGCAAAACCTCCAGAGGGACGTTTGTATGTGTTTAAAAACAAAACTTCCTATTACAACTGAAAACAACAGCATGGGACATTTCAACACATCTGTCGGACTTAGATTCTGTAGAAGCTCTTTTTTTAAAAATTCTGAGTCAAAAGTGAGTTGACTGTGTCTCTTTCAGTGTTAGTCTGGCGATCCGCCTAGATTCAGGCCGGAGTGGCTGTGATGTCACTTTTAGGTGCACAGATGGAATTCTAGATTGAGGAGGGAAGCATCTTAGTGCTGCAATGTCTGGGCCGCAGACCCTGCAGGAGATGAATGTTTGTTGTTAAAACAATTGTTTTCCTTGACCCTTTTTTAAAAAAAATTGTTGAAAAATGCCTGTTAGTCTTGGGGATTCGTCAGAAGTTAAATGTTGGGCCAAATGTAAGTGGATGGGCTGCCCCTTTAACCCACCAGGGTGTGTGTCTGAAGCCACTATTATTGTATTGTCCCCAGTGAATAGGAGGAGATGTAGAATTTTTTTTCCATCAGGAATTAGAGCCCAGCGGTTTACTCTGTCCCTCACTTTATGAACAATTTTTGGTGATGATCAGTTGGGTGGCGCGTCAAGCGATGAATACAGAGCATAGCCCAGGGGTGGGCAAACTACGGCCCGGGGGCCGCATCCGGCCCTTCAGATGTTTTAATCCGGCCCATGAGCTCCTGCCGGGGAGCGGGGTCTGGGGCTTGCGTCTCCCGGAAGCAGCAGCATGTGCCCCCTCTGGGTCCTATGTCGAGGGGCAGCTAGGGGCTCCACACGCTGCCCCTGCAGCTCCCATTGGCCAGCAACCGCGGCTAATGGGAGCTGCAGGGGCGGCGCCTGCGGACAGGGCAGCGCGCAGAGCTGCCTGCTCACACCTCCGCGTAGGAGCCGGAGGGGGGACATGCCACTGCTTCCACGAGCTGCTTGAGGTAAGCGCTGCCCAGAGCCTGATCCCCGTCCCACCCTCCAAACCCCTCAGTCCCAGCCTGGAGCACCCTCCTGCATCCCAGAGCCCACACCGCAACCTCCTGCCCCAGCCCGGAGTCCCCTCCCGCACCCTGAACTCCTCATTTCTGGCTCCACCCCAGAGCCGGCACCCTCGGGGCAAAAATTTTGCCCACCCCGGCATAGTCGGTTTTCTGAATTAATAGCTTCTTGTCTCCCCTTCTCATCTGTTGCTCTGCAGGCTTCTCTGCCACCTGGTCCCCTTCTCATGTGCTAATGCACGTGCTTGGTTCCCTCCTCCCCGTGTATGCAGCTTAACACTTGGTCCTTTTCTCCCGCTGTGCCCTGGACATACTGCCCAGTAGCTGCTTTCCTTTCTCTCCATCTTCCCTGGACGTTCCTCTCGGTTTCCTCCTCCTCCTATGTAGCACAGTCTGCTAAAATGGCTCCTCCTCCTATGCAGCTGCTTTTACAGGTCTCCAGGCTCCCCTGCAATGAAGAGCCTAGACCCTGGCGGAAGCAGCTGGAGAGGAGGGTGTGGAGCCAGTGCTCTAGTGACTTAGCCAGCTCTGCTCAGAGCACCAGCAAATGATCTGTGGGCCGCAGTTTGGATCTGCTGCTGCTGCTGCTGTGGACGCAAGTGTGCAGTACGTTGGTGACTGTGTGTGTGTGGTTATACTCTTGATCTTGTCAATAACACTGACTTGTAATAGGAGGGAGGGGAAGCTGCTCCTGCTGAAGTTTGACTACAGCATGAAGCGTCCCAGCACATCATGTATTTCCCTCCTGTTTTGGTGCTAGGTTGCCCGAGGAGCCTGGCGATCAGAACAGTTCCTCCAGCAACACGGCGAGATCCCACCGCCCTCTCCAGTCAAGAGGCAGGGGAGGCAGAGCCGCAGGGCTGCGCCACGCGGAGATGCCTGCCGATGGCTCTCGAGTCAACAGAGGTATCGGCAGGACTAGGCGACCGCCCCGGAGGAAGCCGGATAAAGCTTTGTATGTTCCCAGGGTGGTGCGCGAAAAACTGGAGGAGTTGAGAAATGAAAGCCTGGCCGGAGCTGGAGCTGAGCCAGATGATGATGTCGTGCGAGAGGCAGGGAGCTGCATTGAAAGTGCAACCGATGGGACCCCAGCGGAGTTGGGTAACTTTGAGGCCACTACAAATTCCAGCAGGGTAGCAAGTCATCTTGATTCAGTCCCTGGCAAGGAACTTCATGAAGTCCAGGGCCCTAAAGAGGCATATGAAGAACATATTGTGGGTGAAATCAGTGGTGATAAAAGTAACAAGTGTCCAGTGGACTGTTCAGATGTCTCTGTGTTGGAGTGTGCCAGGAACCTATCTGCACTGGATAAAGACTGTTCAGATGCCCCTGTAATGGAGTGTAGCAAAACTCTATCCCAACATGAAGACCAGGATAACAGCAGTACAGATGCCACTGTATTGGAGTGTAGCAAAAACCTGCACCAAATAGAAGATCAAGATAAAGACACCATGGATGCCAGTGTATTGGAGTGTAGCGAAAACGTACTGGTCCTGGAAAACCAGGATAAAGGCTCTATGAATGCCACTCTATCAGAGTGCAGCAAAAACCTATCCCTACCAGAAGACCAGAATAAGGAGTCTGTGGATGCCTCCATATTAGAACACAGCAAGAACTCTTCAGTACTTGAAAACCAGGATGAGGGCCGTACAGACACCATTGTATTGGAGCGTAGCCAAAACCTAAGTCTCCCAGAAAATCAGAATCAAAGCTGTATGGATGCCCGTGGAATGGAGTATGGTAAAAAACCATCTGTATTGGCAGACCAGGATAAGCACTGCATGGATACCTCTGTATTAGATCATGCCCAAAAGATATCCCTACCAGAAGATCAGGATGAGGACTGTACAGTCCTGGCGGGCAGACTGCGGTGTGGGTTGGAATTGTCTGCAGAGGATAGAGGCACCGAAAACCCTGCAGTGGATGAGCAGAGCAGCGTAGAGGATGACTGTGGTGCTGAACTCTTGCAAGAGGTAAAGGTTTGGATGTGAATGTTACCTTAGAGACTGGATTTGTGACAGTAGTGACCAGCAGATAGGCTGTGAATTAGAGATGTGGCAGTGATTTTAATAGGCCCTGTCATCTTCTAAAAGGGAGAGGAGGAGTCCCTGGGACACCTCTTTGTCATGGCTCTGGCAGACCTCTGGTTATGGATCCTGCTTGCTTTTATTGAAGCACTTAAAAGTATCGAATCCTAGGACTGGCAGGGACCTCGAGAGGTCTAGTCCAGTCCCCTGCACCCATGGCAGGACCAACTATTCTCTACACTGTGACTGTAAAATGACTGGGGAGTGGATGGCTCAGGCAGTGGGCAGTGTAGTACACACAGGTGGGTCTCAATCCATTTCCTAGCAGCCAGGAGTCTCCATCTTAAAGCCCTTCTGCTGCTAACTGGGTCTGTTGAACAGCACAGGCCAAAGACTGAATGGGCGTTGGGAGCTGAACTCCCCTCTCATCCCTAGAGGGGTCTTTCCGGGGCAGTGTGTAGGGGAAAGCTGGTGGTTAAACTGGTTATGCCATTTTCCGGTGGGATCAGTCCTAAGTATCATGCATGGCTCCCATTCCATATTGGAGCATTTCACGATCTTTATTGCATTTATCCCAGGAGGCAGGGCAGTGCTATCATCCCCATTGTCCAGGTGGGGAACCTAGACACCGAGAGACTAAGTGACCGGCCCAAGGTCACATTGGAAGGCTGTGGCAGAGCAGGGAATTGAACTCAGGCCTCATCCCAGGCTCACACCCTAGCCCCTAGCTATGTAAAATATGCAGGCATACTTTGTGCTTGATAGAACATTGCATTTTTGAAGACCCCTAAATGTCCTTGCTCATTGGCTTCTCCTGCAATGTTAGAAGTGCACCTTGACATCTAACATGCTTCTCCTCCCAGATTGCAACTTATTTGACTGTAAAGGACATTAGCGTCGAGAAGATCCAGTTCGATTATTCCAGCTATGGGGATGCACAGATCAATGAGGGAGATTTTGGACATGTTATAGAGATCTACGATTTCTTGCCATCCCTGAAAACTGAGCATCTGATGGAAGCATTTTCAGAGTTCCAGTAAGTACCTCCCTCAGAAGAAGGGCAGTTCCTGCTCGCCATGCTTAGAGCCATTCGCTTGACATCAGTGGTGCCAGTTGCCAGAATGACGTGAGCAGCTCTCCCAAGTTCTAGGCTAGTGTGCTAACCACGGGGCTCTTTTCTTAAATGGCCCTCATCACTGTAGTATCTGAGTTCCTGAGTAAAATTACACCCATTGATTTGAGTTCAACTCCTAAAGTATATTCAGTCCTTGGCTTCTCTGCTGAAAATGCAGTAAGGATTAGGTCCTTATTTTGCTAAGATTGATCATGTAAATGTGTAGCACACAGGCAGTAATCCAATCAAAGCTCCTTAAGGAGTGCATTGATTATAGGGTCAAAACAAAATTCATCCCCTTAACTGTGGAGCTGTGACCGGTGCGTCTCTAATACACTATGTCCACTCTGCAAAAATGTTTGATCTGCATCTGCAGATGGAGACACACTCATGCTCTTCCCCTCCCCTACCGCCCGCTTAATGTACATAATGGTGTGGTGGTAAGTTTCTGTATGAGCCCCTTTAGCTTGATAGTAACACTCCTAAAGACACAAGCTACTTTTTACAATCTGTCCTCTGCATTTACTTTATGCACTTAGCTCTGATAGCGGAATTGGGCTGAACGCTACCATTAAAAACGAAACTGATCATTTTCCAATTCTCATGCCCCTAGCACCCAGCAACGGCATTTGAGTTTCCAGTGTGGCTGGGGAATCTTTGAATGTTTTGTTTGGTTGGCTTTCATGCGATTAAAAACTCTCTCTCCCCCCCGTTAGGTTTTGTACCATCTTTTGGGTACCCCTTTCTGACGCTTGCACTTCCTGTTAACACTGGAGGAATCTGTTTGTCTGAATCATTGTGCAAATGATAAATAATGCTTAGCACTTTCCATGACAAATCCTAAATCTGGGATTGACATTAAAGAAATGTATAATCACTGGGGGCAACAAGTCCCTGGTGGTGGTGGGGGGGGGGGGGGTTCAGGATACGTGGATTCTGTACCCGCCTCTTCTATTAAGTCGCTGTGTGGCCTTGTATAAGTTCCACTTAGCCCCACTACTTCTATCTTCCTCCACCTATAAAAAGAGGATAATGCTTTGTAAAGCATTGTAAAGATACCAAAGGGGTATCTATGGATGAAAAGCACCCCTAAGAACTGATATTACTAACGGAGACTATTCGTCAGATTGTTTATGGTGTTGCTCTCCTTTTTCTTTGTAGCAAGAGTGGTTTCAAAATTCAGTGGGTCGATGACACTCATGCCCTGGGTATCTTTTCCAGTCTGGCAGCAGGTAATGTGACTTGATTTTTTGCCAAGATGCTAATAACCTTTGGTGTTGGTGGGACTTCACCAATGTCGCATGGTAGATAGTTGCGGAGCCTTAAAATTCCACTTGGCCTGTAAGCTGAATTGCAGTGAGTGTCATGGGGTTTCTGTTACTAAAAAGAAGACACCCTGTTCCTTCCACAGAGTGGTATTGGTAAGGAAATCGTATTTAGAATTAAATCCAGTTTCATCCCAAATTCTCATTGGTAGTTGAAAAGAAATCCATTTCCCTATGTGGGCGTGGAGAGTTCTGTAACTTCTCATCCCCCTCACACGCCCTATGGAAGTGGAAGCCTTTCTCCCACATCTGTTAGGTGTCCTGATCCCTGAATGAAGTAACCTTCTGTAACAGGCATGGAAGATACCACTGACAGTGCATGCAAGTCATTCCAGTATTGAATTTAAGCAGCTGCAAAACACTGATGCCAGTTCAAGCATAAATAGCATTCAAGACTGAGATCTGTTTCCACTACTGATGTTGGGGATTTGGGTGTATATTAATTGATGTTAATAGAGACTTATGGTACATTTCCCCCCTATATTGCCCCTCCCCCAAACTTTAAACCACATGTTCAACTTCTGACACAAGAACCTAGAATTAATTCTGCATTGTTGATGTTCTCTTCTATTAAGTAAGTGTTCTGGGGAAACTCTACTTAGCAGGTTTTTAATTGGCTTGGGTAATAAACAGGCTGCTAGGAATCCCTGTATAAGGAGTTAGTGTGTGAATCATTTTCCATTTTAGAAAGGAATCCGTTCTGCCAACTGAGTTTATTCTCTAAAATGAACAAAATTCTAGAAAGCCTACAACAAAGGGGGTGTGTGACCCTCTGGACATCATTGATCGCTTGTGACATCTAGGTCAAATACCTGACCTTATGGCAAACTGACCCCCATCCTGAGCTTCAGCTCATAACGTTCATTAGGAGCAGTTGATGTCTGGCTGTGCATATATTCAGAAAGCCTTCATTCTATATTTGGGGCCTGATCCTATCATCCTTGACCCATCCTGAACAAAACAGTTATGAATTTCAGTGGGAGTTTGCAGGCCCAAGGACTGCAGGATTCAACATCTGAGTGAATTGACTAAATTCTGCTGTTCCACTAAAAATCTTGGGCCAGATCATCAGCTGAGATAAAATGGTGTCATTCCATTGACTTCAGTGGTGTTATACTGCTTTAAACCAGCTGAGGATCTCAACCTGTGTACTGAACTTTGTTATAGTTACAAAAATTCAGCTTGTTGACCGTAGCAATCTTTATTCTTTGAAGCATCTCAGGCCTTGGGGCAGAGTTATCCTTCTCTAAAGATCCGATCCTTGATTCACGGGACAAGACAGTCTAAAACCAAGGCACTTCAACGACCAAGTAAGAAACCTTTGATTTGTGTTTGCTCCTTGTTTTGCATATCTTCTGCTGCTAGGGGTGATTACTGTGACTAACATATTAATTATACTGGATTTAAAAATAAACCCACACTAAAGACCTTTACTGCTTTAAAAGCAGGTGTTTACTCCTTGTGGCTTTATTGGCGCTGTTCTGGTGCAGGAGGGTGAGCTGAATTCTGTTGTGCCTCATGCATCATCAATTGTCACCTTAATTCTACTTGTGGAAGATTGAGTTATGATGCCCGAGACAGAAAGGATCCAGTTGGATCTGTAGATTAGAAAAGTGACTGTGAAGGGGAGCACATCAGAGGTGGAATAAGGGTATTAATACACCAACTCAGTCTTGTTTCAAGTCCCTTTTCTGACTATTGTGGTACACCTCAAAACCATCTGCTGCCTTAAGGAGTGGCATGATCAAGTAGTAGTCTGGTGTGTTTGTAACAGGAGGACAAAGCATGCAGAGGAAGATCATAGATCTTTTATTTTTTAGCATAGGGCCAAAATTTTTAAAGTTGGGTGCCTACAGTTAGACACCTAAATACCTGACTTGATTTGCAAAGTTGCTTTTCACATACAGCTCTGATTTCAGTGAGAGCTGCAGGGATATCCCCACCCTCGAAAATCTTGTCCATAGCCTGTTAAACGCCGTAACTTCTGCATTGTTCCACACCTGTCCTCTGCTAAATACAGCCTGCTGCTGAATGCATTATTAGCAAATATCCTTTTGAAAAGCAGTAAGTCACAACAGGAGGCATTGGGTACAGTCACCGTTCCCACTGGCTTCAGTGAGAGGTGCCAAAAGTGTTGGGGGTAGAATTAGATTCACAGTAAGGAAGACTGTTGAGCTCTGACAGTATAGATGGGATTGATTGGTTGGTTGCTTTTAAGCACATGCTTAAATTCCATTGTTTTCAGTGGGGCTTCAGCACTGATTCTGGGACTAGTTTTCTATGCCACTTGCTTCAATTGTATAAGCATAAATAGCATTCAAGAATGAGATCTGTTTCCACCACTGAAGTTGGGGATCTGGGGTGTATATTAATTGATGTTAGAGTCTCATGGTACATTTCCCCCCTACACTAATTAGTTCAAACAATTAAAAAATATCACAGAAAATGAAACCAATAGCAGTTAGTACTTTGTGGTTGGCATAATTTTATTATTCAGTAGCAGATTCAGATAAAATTATTGTTTAAGCTTAGCCATTCATCGTTAGTAACATTCAGTTCATTTTATTACTTTAAAATCATACTGTAATCAATTATGCTTGCCGCAGTAAAAGTGAAAAATGCCATTAATCTTGTAGCAATATAAAATTTTACTGTACATATAATTATACTGTTTCTTGTACAGTATAGTGCAGTCAAAATACATTTCAGTATTAATGATTTAAAAGGAAACTCGCTTTTTTAAGCACTTCCTGAGTTACTAGCATTGCTGGATTATTGAAACTGAAATTTTCAACGAATCCAATTCTCTTTGTTCCGCTTGTATGGGGAAGGGACTGGTCTATTTCACATCCTGATTTTTGTGCGCTAGGCTAGGGGTGTGATGTCTGGGTTGCAGAGGAATGTTTGAACCTGAACAAAATTGTATTTAATTAAAAAAAATTTGTTACCAAAACTTAAATTAGCTGACAGTGCCCCTTTTAGAACCTTGTCAAGAATATTGGTGATTTATTTTCCAAGCTGTGGGTGGATACAATGAGCCTCTGTCCCTCTTATTGTTTTTTGCTGCTGTTGGGCCTCCTCCGTTTTTTTGTTTGAACAATCTTAATAACCCAGGCCAAGCCATATTGCTCACTGGATATTTTCAAGTTTGCAAACAGTTAAACGACTCTACTGGTATTAAATCCACTGTATATTAAATGAAGACTTGTTCAGCCTGCAGGTTTGGACTTGGTAAAATGTTGGATTACTTCATTATTGTTAAAACAAGCCAGCTGGTGGTTAACAGCAGCGATTGCCGGTAACCCCTGGCGAATGGGCTCTTCAGAAAAGCCTTTTAAAAACATACACAATCATTTAAAAATGTTTAGTAGTTGAAGCAGTCTGCTTTCCTACTCCGCCACGTTTTGAGGGGTTAGCGCTAGGCTTTCAGAGTGAGTGTCTCAACTGAAATCAGTTGTCTTGGTATCTGAATTGCTAAATTTTGCCAGGAGTGGTTCTGAAGCAGTTTGTGAATTTTAATCACAGAAGGTTCTCTACCACTGCAGCAAGGGACCAGGTTTTAAGCCATTTGAATAGAATACTTTGCCTATGAATCTATACATATTACAGACAATGACTTTAGCCTTGCAGCATCCCATTGAGGCAGGTCAGTAAAGTCCCCTGGTGTGAGGTAGGGTAGTTGAGACAGAGGTGAAATGACTTGCCTGTAATTGCCTGGTGACTCTGTGGAAGAGCTGAGAATAGAGCCCAGTTTAACTACAAGACTGTGTTCCTAAAATGAGAGGATTTAATTAGGGAGACTTCCCCCTCTCCTCCATTTTGTCTGATTTCTCATCTGTTTTATTTAGAGCTCCTTCAGCTGGCTAAAGAGAGACCCCAGACTGACACTGCAGTGGCTAGAAGGCTGGTGACAAGGGCGCTGGGTTTGCAGCACAAAAAGAGAGTCTCAGGTGGTGACATGCTACAGCCCGAGAACTTGGAGCTGGAAGAGTAAACTGACTCGGAGCCGAAGACAAGCTTTGAAGGAGCCAGGGTGGGATAGCGAACTGCATGCAGAACAGTGAGTTGCCATTAGGACACACTGTGGAGTTGTGGGGTTTTTTTTTTTCTTTAAATGGGGGAAGGGAACAAGTTTACTGTTGTTGATATTGAACTCCCTTGTTGCATTCTGGGAAACGGGCCATTTAGTTTTTCAAATTATACCTCACTAATCCAGGGTACAGAGGCCCCTGTAAACTAGCTCTTTACTATGGAGAGTATCTTATCTTGTTCCCCAGCAGGTGTTTATCACCACCCTTCCAAAGCAGTTCATAGCCACTTTGGTAATCTCCACTCCTGGGCCGTGATAGGTACAACAGCAAAGCCTCCTTGATCTAAGCACTACATTCTTTTAAAATGTATAAAGTCTCTAGTAAGAGCTGCCCGAGATTGAAGGTTGTGGGAGGGAAGAAGGGAATACCTTTGGCCTGGATTGTAAGCAAGAAAAACAGAGCAACACGTTTGCAGGAGTCAATAGCTGTTTAATGTTTACTGAAGTTGTAAAGCTGACGTTTGTTAAAATAAAGTTATACCACAAAACTGATAAGCAGCAAATGCATGTGGCAGCATCAGGTTTTTTTGATACACAGTACGTAACAAGCATGCTCAGGTTTGTGATGGTGCAGTATGTCAAGGAGCATTCTTATCCACTGATTAGAGGGGGGGAAAGCCAGAACTTGACATCTGCTTTATTGTTGTAGCACCTGATGCTGCACAACTCCCACTACAGGGGCTCAGGCCTTTAGTAAAGTCTCACCTCCTCAGAACAAAATGGAGCTTTCCAGATTACTGTAGGTGCAAAACTTTTTCCAGATGCCTCTCTGTAAGCAGAGAGGAATAACTTAGTATTTGTTAGCTACATACTTGAAGATCCTCTGATAGGCATTAGCAAAGGACTTAGCAGGCATTCCTTACACCTCACAACACCCCTGTGAGGTAGGTTAGAGAGAGCAAAAATGAGGTTAAAGGGACACATCCAGCTTCAATCACACTTTGGACTGAAATGTTTTATCTTATTACACACCTAATGCCATTAGCATAACTGAGTGATTTTCCTATTTGCACTTGATAGTACTTTGCATCTAGTCAGTTTCACAGTTTGAGTCTTTCAGCGAACACAAAGGGAGAGGAGCTTTTCGTAGAACTAGGGCATGGGATTAAGGCCTCAAAAAAGGGTGACAGCAGCTGATGCAATACCAGCCCTTGCTGTAATTTAAGAATTGACTAGAGCTCAGGTTTGTTGACTCACAAAGCAAGCGAGTGGGAGTAGAACCCAGGTATCCTGACTCCCAATCCCTTGCCCTAGCCACATGGCAGAGGGGTGAAAGAACTAAGCTTCCAGGTCACTCAATGAACATACACAAAAATGGCATAGAAAACTCTTTTCTGGGCAAAGTTGATTTTTATTCAAGTAGGCGTGTGTCTGAAGACATGTAGCAACGTGCGTCCTCAAACAAACAGAGGAACACACTTAGCACCATTATGCATTTACCGAAGTGTAAAATCTTTTTTTAAAAATCGCTTACACAGGTGGTCTGACATAATGCAAGATCCAGATCCCTGATAGTAAAGGCCAATAAATTATCTTTGTAAAAGTATATTGATGATACAATGATTAACTATATTCATCCTTTAAAGAAAAGGCACAGATGTAATATCTAGCTTAAAGGTGTTGGAAGGAAATAGACGTACATAAAATCATTTGGGTGAACAGCTTAGTGTGCAACAGAAATGCTGTTTAGTCTCCCAACACAAGGATGTGTACTAAATAATGGAACTTTTCCAGGTCTAGATTGCATAATTGACTTGTAGCTTTGTGGAGTTCTGGTAATTACTATAGAGAGCACAGTGCGAACTAGCCCTGCTTTAGATGTTCCCTTTAAAGATCGTGCTAAAAACGTGAGTGGAGCGTTTGAAATGAACAAGTTATGTCACAGTATTAAATTACACTTTGCACCTTCCCGGTCTCAGGAAGGCTGCTCCAGTTTTTCTTAGCTATGTGCTAAATTGGGTATTTTCATGGCAGTACTAAGAATGAGTTGGATTTAAGTACCTTTAGAAAAGCAATGTCACAAATGTCCGTTTTCGCATCAGTGGTGTGTGTTCAGACTCAAATCAAAGCGTAAAGATGCTGAGACAGGAGCAAGGCAGCTGAGAGGGAAGTATGTTTAAACACTGTCAATGGTAGGGACACAGGTAGGTTGTCCTCACCCAAAGGAAACCACCACCACCACCTCTGCGATCTGCTCACTGCAGCCTGGACCTGTGCAGATGAACAAGGTGGGAAGGAGTCTCCAGTGAACAGGTTAGACTGGATGGAAGTGAAGCCCTAGTTGCAGGGACATGGGGCCTAGTGGAATTAAAGTCTGGTCCCAAATCATCTTAATATTAGGAGTGAGAAGTTACAAAGTGAATTCTGTTTCCTAGTGTGCTGAGCACCTGAAATGGGTATGGAGGGTATTGCTGAGAATAACTTACAATGCTAATTTAAAGTCCAGGGTTGTTTACTTGGTTTCTTTTTCTGTGCAGTGGTTAGGGAAGTTGCAAACAGGCATCCCTGCTTCCTTAAATAGTGGGTGGGAGGCCGGCTGCTCTACCGCGTGGACACCTGGTTATTTGTGAGTCCGCTGAAGTGATCAAATTTCTGTTCCATTTCTTGGCCTAAGGAGTCACCTGTGAGAGGCAGAGAGAACCAGGTACTGTCAGCAAGGTACCCCCTGAGCCTGTGTAAATTATGTCTCTGACACGAAAGGCAGATGCACAACAAACCAGATAAATTGAGTAAATTACGCCTGTTTCTAAGCTGCCACATCAGTTTTCCTCCACACCACTGGGAGTTCTGAACTTGGATCAAGGGCAGTTGCCTACCTTTTGGCTATTTAATTCTATTAAAATTTGATAAGCATATAGCTCGGCTTCTATTAATACACTACTGCAGGAGTGAGGGGAAGAGTAAACTTAACACTTTGATGTACATCTCACCCAACGCTTTAAGAACATTGTCCTATAATTTCCTTCTGAGATGTGTGGAAACAGGAACCGCTGGTAAGTGACCTGCCCCCTATGACACAGCAAGTTAGTGGCAGAAGCAGAACCCAGAATTTGACTCCCAGCTGCTGGCTCTAACCTGTAGTTCACACCGCATCCCATAGCAATAACTATTTTTTGAACAGCTCAACTTCCCACGTGCTTCTGCTCACCTATATGGCAGTTGTACATCCAGATGCGCTGTCCATCATACCGACTCTTGCACTTCATCACATTGTTCGAATAATCCGATTCTGCAACTTCGTAGTTTGGGTTAATGACAATCTGGGAAAGAGTAAAGAAACAACATCATAGAGCAATTGAAAGATGCTCAGTGAAGTGTAAACAGCAAAGAAGATGGTCTCTTTCTTTTGTGTTTGTACAGCACCAGGGTAGATAAAAATCAATTATTTTTTTAAAAAAAAAATCAGTTTTGATATGCTTTTTCCTCAAAAAAGCATTTTATCTAAAGATAGATATATCTTTGAGCTATAATGTCTCATCATGGAATAGGGATTATAAATTCTAATTCGATAGTACAAGACAATATACTCAGGTAATGGTTAAGGAAAGTTTTGTAAATGAGTTCCAATAGTTCATGGATTAGGGACCCAATCTTATGGGGTTCCATGGGCTTCTGTCTAGATTATTTAGGTTAATCTTTCTATCTACCCAATGGGACTCAGTGCTCAGTCTAAGATACCATCAGAGATGCTTAGTTTTGCAGTTCTCAGACTGTGGATTTGTGTCTCTAGAGATAACACGCTTATTAACAGCAAAAAATTTTTAAAATAAATAAATATATAGAGAGAGATGAGAAATAACAGACCTCAACCCTATTGTCCCTCTACAAATTTGTGTACACTGTCAATTCCTTACCTCTCTCTAAAAGTTCAATGAATAGAAGATTGTTGGGGGTGGAATAGATCTGGACAAGGAGAAGAAGTCTGGAGATAAATGTGAGACGCGAGGGACATACGCTTGTTTTGTTAAAATATTATATGTTTGCTGTTGAAGAAAAAAATCCAGAATACTTAATGTTGTTGATTTAGTTAAATAAAACAATTTAAAATGTCTGTCTGGTGATATTCTCCTCCTAATACAGCAGAGCAAGAAAACTGTCCAAATACTAATGATTAACCTGTTGAATTGGAGATACGTATGAAGTTATTGGGAGGTGAACTGTCTGCTTCAATTACCTTTGGTAAATCAAACAATCATTCATTCATTTTCTGATATAGCTGTCAAACTAATCTGAAAAGTTTTCAAAATAAATCACTGTTTACCTTCTAAAAATGAAACCTACATCTATCTCTGAGTTGTGAAGAAAATGTATTAAGGTTAGAACAACCAACAAGAATTCACTTTTATGTAGAAAACCATGATTAAATCAAATCTACCCTGTACAGCACCTGGCACAGTGGGGTCCTGGTATGTGACTAGGGCTCCAAGGTTCTTCAGTAATACAAATAATTAATTAGAAGAGCTGGTCAGAATATTTTAAAAAGCATGCTTTTTTTTTTTCCAAATTACTTTTCAGTTTATTTTCTGACCAGCTGTATTAGTAAAAACCTTTAAAATTCTTTGCTACATCACAAGAGATTTCCTTAGACACAATGAAACAGTTTCATGGGGAAGATGATTTTTCACATTTGATTGCAGTATTATTTGCATGCTGGTAGCACCCAAAGAGCTACATGCTTCTCAGTCTCCACTGAAGACACTGTACCTGCCTCAAAGCTTACAGGCAAAGGGGAGACTTACTTGTATTTAATAGGACAGCTATCAAGACAAAACTAATTCATTTAAAAAACCCTTCTCTCTGCTCTCAGGCACATGAAAGGTTTTAGATTTTTCACCCTTTCCCTGGTTTGTTTGAATTTCAGACCACTTGGGCAATGAAAGTAGCATTAAAGTGAAAGTGACTGAAGTAGCAGTGGTGGCTTCCCGTGCTGTAATGTTAGAGTTGAAAGGAGTGCATGAGAATGATCAGTATTCTTTTCACTCAGGAAAAAAAAAAACCACACCAGACAATGCTGTTTATATGGGGGTTTGTAAAACACTTAATCACCAATCACCTAAATCTTTGTCTGAAAAGGACTTGAGAGCATTTCTGAAAGAAGGTTGGAACAATTGTATGGTATTCAAAATGTGGCACAGATCATAAAATATCAGGGTTGGAAGAGACCTTAGGAGGTCATCTAATCCAGCCACCTGCTCAAAGCAGGACCAATCCCCAACTAAATCATCCCAGCCAGGGCTTTATCAAGCTGGGCCTTAAAAACCTCTAAGGATGGAGATTCCACCACTTCCCTAGGTAACCCATTCCAGTGCTTCACCACCCTCCTAGTGAAATAGTGTTTCCTAATATCCAACCTAGACCTCTTTTCATGATCTGTCTATTGTGACTGGCCATGCTACCTTGAGCTTATTTTTAAAATCACCTAACATTGTTAGGCATGTAACCAATTTGTTGCTAGATACCAGTAGACAAGTGTCCACCTCTGTTGCCCACATCCCAGTCCCCATGTACCTGGAAGAGGTAATCTCCTGGTGGGATATCAGTAATGTCGACCCATTGGCAGTCAATATCATGACGATAGACATCCCAGCATCCCACTGTGATTCCTTGTTCCCCAAAATTAGCACATTCGTACTGTTTCTGCACATCTACAGAGGAAAGAGGTATGCATGTCAGAACAATCCCAGCTGGTTTGGTGGGTATTCTCCTAACCTCACTATGAGACAGGTAGTTCCTCTGTGAACAGAAGAGTGTATGCACAGTGCTCCTGAGGTGAATATCATATCTTAGGATAGTGCATCCATCCCAAAGCAGTGTATGAACTCAATGGCGAGGAAGCCCCCTGAAATGCAGCCACTTCTGGGGTGGAATGTAGCAGTGTTTGTGACAGCAGGCCGCAATGCTACATGACAGGAAGTAAAGAATTCTGTGTCCTTTTGAAATTAGAGGGGGAGTTTTAGGAAAACAAAATGTAAATACATGAGTTGGAATTTATCCAGGACAGCAGGTTAGCACTTCTCATGTAGAAAGTGCCAGTGGTTCTTTTAACTCTCTCAAGAGACTTTAGGTCTCATTCAAAATGTTGTAGCTATAACGTTCCCTGGGCTATGAAGTCTACAGGGGTGGGTACAGGTAGCAGAGGCTGGGAACAAGTCTATATAATGCACACATTTTTCCTACCTGATCGCCCAGATCCGTGGCTTGGAAGTACTTGTGTCATTGGAGTCAGAAATGTAAGGCCAGATTTTCCAAACAGCCCTGCACCCAATGAGTTAAGTACTTTTGAAGCTTGTCATTCTTAATGTAATAGCACCAGGAACCTTTTGCAAGCACCAATAGATTTCAACTCTTTTCATGGTTTAAAGACTAGGAAGCATTGGCCTCCTTAGCCTCAAGAACAATCACAGCTCTTGGACGACCAAGTTTGCCATCCTCCCTGCTAAGGAACATGGCTTTGTCTTTGGATCCCGAGAACGCCAATAAATTCCCTGCACAAACTTCCCACACTATGTGGCTATAGCGAGGGTACCTGATTCACATTCAGTGTCTTCCAAACAGAAACTCGCTTTGTGTCCTTCGGCCACCTTGGTACCATTGAGGTTCAGCAGATCATAGTGTGTGAAAACCTCCATGCTGTGATAATGTCTGTGAGACACAAAGAAATATAGTCTTTAGTTAGGATAGCTGCTAACTTACTGCCATCTTAAAAGCATAGCGTAACTCCTAGAGGGGAAGGATGGTCCAGTGGCTAGGGCGTTAACCTAGGATTTGGGACACCTGGGTTTAATTCCCTACTCTGCCACAGACATCTTGTAGGACCTTGGGCAAGTCAGTTCCCTTGTAAAACAGGGAAGAATGCTACCATACCTCACAAGGGCATTCTGAATATAAATATATTAAAGAGGGGGAGACCCAGAGTGATGGGGGCCACATATGCATCTCAGAAAGATGGAAACCTTAGTTCAGAGGGTACAGAACATTAATTTACTGGCCAGAAATGAACAGCAGAATGGGGTAAATTTAGTTTTGAGCTCATTTCACTCTGCCTCAAACAGGAGAGCTGGGTTCATATACACAGTCCACTTCATTATTTTAACCGGGCACTAACAGAGTCAGCTTGACCCTGTCTGCACGGCTGTCAGACAGGTTCCAGCTCTACATGTCATTGTAGTCAGGATGGTTCCACTACTGCGGATAGTTTGTGCGTGTTAGGGAACGATGTACATCAAGCCAATGATTCAACAAAGTTGCTTAACTTTAAGCATGTACTTAAGTCCAGCTGAAGTCAGTGGGACTTGTGTGTAAGTGCGTTGCTGAATACGGATGGACTTAAGTACACGCTTAAAGTTAAGCATAGGCTTTGCTCAGTCAGGGCTTAGTTACACGGACGTAACTGAGATCAGAATTTGTCCCCCTCTCCTTGGAACCAGTGGTAGAGCGATGTGGCTGGAACATGGTAGTTGCTAGCACAGTTACCACCAAAGGCTCTCAGATACCATGGTGATAAGCACTTGAACAAAACAGGCCCCAAATCCTGCCATCTGATCCTTGCGAGCAGATCAGTGCCAAGCCCCACTGGTTTCAGGAGTACTCGGGATGGGCCCAAGAGTCCATCTGCACAGAGCCTAATTCAAAACACATTGCTGAAGAATTTTTAAAAAGTGGTTCCACTTTAACGGAAAGCAGAACTAGCCTTCTGGCTGTAAAAATAAATCAGGGCTTCTCAGTAAATGGTGCTACCTAATACTGTCCGTCAGATGTTTGCAACACCAAGCTATGCATGTGTTCATTTAACTAAAATGTGCTTACAGAAGCAACAAAAGGCATTTTTTTTCCTATAGGAAAAGAGGATTTTTCTTCACCCCGCCCCTTCCAAAATTGCGATCACTGAAATCGCTGCCAGATGTTCTTAAGTTTCCCTTCACCTGGACATTAAGTGGCTTTTCCCCATTTTTGTCCTGCTCCTATGTCAAAAGCCTGCTGAACAGAGGCTTACAGTACCGGACTGAGACGGCTGGGGGAAAAAAAAAAAAGAGCATTCTGTGGTGGCCAACCTACTGATTTTGAAGTAGTCTATTTTGGCTGCCTCCGCTGCAAAAAAAAATTTAGAACCTGGGGTCTGACTCAATTCCTAAAATGTCTGCATCCTTCAAACGGGTGTTTATATTACAGTGTTTACAGACTGGAAAGATGCAAGAGGAATATAGTTCATATTCCTCCATGTAAACAGAATCCAGTTTCAAGCACACAGATGGCCTGCGGCCTCTTCCCGAGCCTCTCCTCACTTCATTTAAGACGTCTTCCAAAAGACACAGACCCTTGCTCCTTTTGAGCAGCCAGTTTCATTGCTTGGATTCTATTGGGCCATAGTATTGTATTAGTCTCTATGTAAGAAGAGGGACTCTTTCACAATATAGCCACCTTGAGAAAGGGCCAACTACTGAAGGCTCAGAGAGGAACAGAGCAGGCAACCAGTATATAGGACCACAAAGGATCTGGAAGCTGGTGGAGTGGGTCATCTGGATAGAACAGTCCCTTTGGAAGGTACTGTGCTGCCTAAGCCTCTCTACTGATCCCTCCCTATAAATGCTCACTTACGGTTTGGCAGACAGTGGAAACCTGTCCCCAAGCTACAGCAAAAGGGATGCAGGTTTCTCCCCTCTATTGGTAAATCTCAAGCTGGTTTCCCTTTCCATCCGCCTTGCAGGATCTGTTTATTTTCAGTCTGGTTTGTGCAGTTGTGGAACGGGCCCTACCCGCTCCAACCTAGCTGGAGCATGGTGGAGATGTCCTGACTCTAATGAAAGTCTGTCCAGAAGATGGAGCTTGGTTCATTAAAAGCAAGTTGGCTGACTGGGGGAGTCAAATGGGAAGGAGATACAGGAGGAAGGGCTCCAGCTGGTCACGGGGAAGAGGAAAGGAAATGGGAGCTGAGGTTTCTGGGAGCCTGACTGAGGAGATATCAGCTATTATCTTCAAAGAGTCATGGAAGATGAGTGAGATTCCACAGGACCGGAAAAGAGCAGAGTGCCAAGCTATAAAAAGGGTAATAAGGACAGCCTGGGGAATTACAGACCAGTCAGCTTAACTTCTGTACCCAGAAAAATAATGGAGCAAATAATCAAGCAATCAATTTGCAAACACCTAGATGACACGAAGGTGATAAGTAGCAGTCAGCATGGATTTGTCAAGAACAAATTGTGTCAAACCAACCCAATAGCTTTCCTTGACAGGGTAACAAGCCTTGTGGGGGGGGGGGAGGGGGGAGAAGCGGTAGATGTGGTACATCTTGACTTTAGTAAGGCTTTTGATACGGTCTCGCATGACCTTCTCATAAACAAACTAGGGAAATGCAACCTGGATGGAGCTACTATAAGGTGGGTGAATAACTAGTTGGAAAACCATTCCCAGAGTGTAGTTATCAGTGGTTCATAGTCAAGCTGGAAGGGCATAATGAGTGGGGTCCTGCAGGGATCAGTCCAGGGTCCGGTTTGGTTCGTTATCTGTGGACGATACCAAGCTGGGAAGGGTTTCAAGTGCTTTGTAGGATAGGATTAAAATTCAAAATGAACTGGACAAACTGGAGAAATGGTCTGAAGTAAATAGGATGAAATTCAATATGGAAAAATGTAAAGTACTCCACTTAGGAAGGAACAATCAATTGCACACATATACAATGGGAAATGACTGCCTGGGAAGGAGTACTGTAGAAAGGGATCTGGGGGGTCATAGTGGATCACAAGTTAAATATGAGTCAACAGTGTGACACTTGCAAAAAAAAAAAAAAAAAAAAAAGCGAACATCATTCTGGGATGTATTAGCAGGAGTGTTGTAAGCAAGACACAAGTAGTAATTCTTCCGCTCTACTCTGCGCTGATACGGCCTCAACTGGAGTATTGTGTCCAGTTCTGGTTGCCACATTTCAGGAAAGATGTGGACAAATTGGAGAAAGTCCAGAGAAGAGCAACAAAAATGATTAAAAGTCTAGAAAACATGACCTATGAGGGAAGATTGAAAAAATTGGGTTTGTTTAGTCTAGAGAAGGGAAGACTGAGGGAGGACATGATAACAGTTTTCAAGAATATAAAAAGTTATTACAAGGAGGAGGGAGAAAAATGGTTCTCGTTAACCTCCGAGGATAGGATAAGAAGCAATGGGCTTAAATTGCAGCAAGGGAGGTTTAGGTTGGACATTAGGAAAATTGTCCTGTCAGGGTGGTTAAGCACTGGAATAAATTGCCTAGGGAGGTTGTGGAATCTCCATCATTGGAGATTTTTAAGAGCAGGTTAGACAAGCACCTGTCAGGGATGGTCTAGATAATACTTAGTCTGCCATGAGTGCAGAAGACTGGACTAGATGACCTCTAGAGGTCTCTTCCATTCCTACGATTCTTGGCACCTGTCCTTTAGCTTAGGGCAATCAGGTGGAGAGCTCTTGTTTGAGGGTTATGGAACCATCTATGTTTCTGTACCACAAACCCCTTTGCATCATCCATGGGGAGGTAAGGAATTTTACCCAGGAACATCTCAGCGTAGGCTACTTCTGGTGTCCCTTCAGTGAATTCTATGATTTCTCAGTAAAGCAAGCCACAAGATTCCAATCAATTGTGCTACCTGGCTTCATCAGTGATTTTATACTGTAATAAACTGTGTATGCGTGTTTGCTATTGGTTGGAATCATAGCTGCTTAAGTGTGTCTCATAGGCCATATACTCTTAAAGAGATTCTCCTTTATTCCTGTGCTCTGGGCCTGTGCTTTTGAAGCAGAAGGATCTGAGTTCTATCCCAGCTGTCTCCATGAAGCCTGAGTGGCTGTGGTGTGCAGCACAACGATAACGGCGCAAACATCTAGAAGAGGCCAGTTAGTACTATTTGGGCTTGTGGCTTTGAGATGTGGATGGGCCCCATGTCCATGAGGAAATGGACCCACCTAATTTCTTTCATGACCAATAGGGGGCAGCAGAGTGGACTGGGTCTTTGGCCCTTGCATTCTGATTAGCAACAAATGCAGAGGAACCTAAGCACCCACCTGTGGCAGTCGTGCCAAATCCAGGCGTGGCGGCCGTTCTTGGGGCGGAAGTCAGCCTGCCCGTTGTTGTGGATCTGGGAGGAGAAGCGCAGGAGCCTCCTATAGCCAGTGGAAACTGATGTGTTGGCAGCCGTGGTGGCCAGACAGTTCTCCTCAAGCGCACACTGCAGCAAGAACATCGGGCGGTCCTCCAGGTAGGAGGTTTGCTCCACCATTTCAGCATTGAGCACCAGATCCGGGGCAGCTGACGGTGGGGAAAGAAAAATGTCTTTAGACCTACCCACACCAAAGCGATGGTTTGCCACTCCAATCGTATCCCAATTGCAGCCATTGCCATAGCTGCCCCACCGCGCACTCCTAGCGGGGGCAGGACAAAGCCACAACCTGTGCTGTTTGAAACCAAGGTTTTCAATATAAACTGCAATGCACCAGGCAGCTGGCTCAGGCTTGAGAAAGTGCAGAGATGTGGCCGGTGAGAAGGTCAGTGCAGGAAGCAGTGGCAAATATCTGAGTTTGGAGGAGGAGAGGCAGGGAACGTGGGAAACCGGAGGCTGTTCCAAATATAAGGTGGAAAGCCAAGGGTTGGAGAAGGGGCACGAGAGGAAGAAAGATAATCAATGAACTGAACTCCAAATAAAAAGCTAAGTTCCTACCACTGCTTTTTGGACATTTAATTCTGTATTATTCAGACAGTCAGTTGATCCTAACATTTGCCAGTGTGTTAAAATAGAAAGATGGCCCAATGAGTGGTATGAGCCTCCCTGTTTCCTCCCAGCATCCCAAGAGAAGCCCAGGGAAATCTCCATGATCAGTATCACTTTGTCCCGACTATTGGAAGAAGAAAATGCAAGGTACTCACTTTCTGAGCAGGAAACTCCTGCGGCAAAGCGGCCGCCGCCTCTGGGGCACGACACCCGGGCGCCATCGTGCCGGCAGTGCGCCAGGGACATCTCCGTCCCGGAACACTTCACGCCACTCATAACGACGTCATTGGCGCTGACGTCTCCGTGCCAGTACCAAGTTTCCTAGGGAGAGAGAGAGAAATGGGTCATTTGATTCCAGTGGCAGGTGCGTGGCTGCTCCTCTTAGGGAGAATGTCCAAGCACAGGTCACTGCCAGAAGGACCGACCCCAGCGGTGTGTTTTGATATGCAAGTTAGATCCAAATCCCGTAATTCCCACTGGAGTGAGGGGCAAGTGTGTACGACTATAGCATGCGAGACAGCATCAGGTTTTTTTGTCAACGAATGCACATTTCCATCTGTATTTGGAATGAGCCCTTTTCATATGCCTGGGGAGGGAGTGCTCCCCTCAAAGCAAATCATTTAGAGGCCATCAAGCTAGGAAATACTTATTCTGAAGGGAGATAGAGCTCTCATAAGTCCCCACATCTATCACTTTGGGGCATATTTATTCACTTCATAAACCAGGTAAGCCAGTGATTAATGATTTGCAGCACCATAGGGGAGACCCAGGTTTGAATCCTGGGTCAAGATTTCCAAAATGGACCAGTGATTTTGGCTGCCAAACTTAAACCACCTTAAAGGGGCCTTCTTTTCAGAGGGGGGGTGCTCAGCCCCCCACCCCTTTAAGAGCTCACAAGTTGGGCAGCCAGAATCATCAGTCACGTTTGAAAACCTTAGCCCCAGCCTTCAAGGGCAGGTCTTCACTACCCGCCAGATCGGGGGTCGATTTATCGCATCTAGTGTAGATGCGATAAAAATTGATCCCCGATCGCGCTCCCCGTCGACTCCGGAACTCCAGCTCGCGAGAGGCAGAAGCGGAGTCGACGGGGGAGCAGCAGCGGTCAACTCGCTGCTGTCCTCACGGCCAGGTAAATCGACCTAAGCTACGCCGACTTCAGCTACGCTATTCGCGTAGCTGAAGTTGTGTAGGGTTACCATATTCAAACATTTAAAAAAGAGGACACTCCACGGGGCCCTGGTCCCGCCCCAACTCCGCCCCTTCCCCACCCTGGCCCCACCCCCAGCCCCGCCCCAACCCAACCCCTTCCCCACCCCCATTCCAACCCCTTCCCCAAAGTCCCTGCCCCAACTGTGCCCCCTCCTCTGAGCACCCCGCATTCCCCCTCCTCCCTCCCGCTCTGATCTTGGTTGGGGGTTGCTAAGTGCTTCCCTGCTCCCCACTTGCCCTCCAGCCCCTGC